AAAAAAAAAAAAAAAAAACAGGTTTTTATAACAGAAAAGTGGTGTGTGGGTGTATTTTTACTCCCTGTAATCCTCAGGTAAACATATGTAAAACTTTTTAGACAAAGCATTATGTGGGTAAAAATCCCAGCTTGACACTTTTGCACACATGCATAGACCTTGCCATTCATCATATCAAGTGAGTAAACACAAAGATTACTTCCTATATCCTCTAGGCACAGCTACTTAGATATATAGCCAGCTACTATACTATTATGCTAAAGTACAAATTTTTAGTATAAAATTATGGGACAGGTTGTTGTAACCAAATGTTATGCCCTTCCCAAAGGGCATAACATTAATTATAGCGGCATGTTTTTCTATTCAAAATTGTAATCTTATTAATTACATAAATAATTTATATACCATATACTAATCCACTGCAGTTCCAATATAAGACAAAAAAGGCAGAAAGAATGTCAGGTCAAACTGTAAATCTTTAGAAACAGCACAAAAGCACTAATGAAAGGTACAGTGGTTACTTTAAAATTTTAAACACTGGATATGCAGAGTAGTTTTAACAATCTACCTAGTGGAACAACACTTCCAATTACTCATTGTGAAAATATAAGTAGGAATGAAAAATTAAATCTGATAGCACTGATATTTAATTTGGTAACGAAAATAAGGAAGCATGTCAGAAACAGGCCACTGAGCTCAGAATACCTGAGCACCTTACCTTCTTCTGAAGAACATTAACTTTCCGCTCCTTCACATCCAGCATGTCTTTCAGATCATGTATCTCTCCAGCTTGTGTCCCCTTCTCCTCAGCCATCTCCTGGATTTGTTTTGTCTTTTTATTCAGCATGGTTTCCTTCTCTTCTAAACGCAACCGCAGAGCATCTACCTAAAAAATGTAAGATTTCCACACAAGATTAACTGATAAGAAAGGAACATAGTTCCTTTAGAATAGATATGTTATTAAGACTTTATAAACAGGTTGAGTTATCCCTACTTCAAGAGAAATGGAACTGGGATTCAAGGGAATTAAATAATGCATACCATATCACAAAAGTAAAAAGTAAAATGAGAACTCAAAGGCTAGATATGACTCCAAATATTATGATTTATTATATACCAAATGATACCAATGTAAAAGGAAGAGATGTTACACAGAAGTGGAGAGCTTTCCTATGAACAATAAGTCCAAGGGGTCTCTACCTCAATTGGATTTTTAATGATGAATAGGGCATCACTAGAAATAAAACAGAAGGCAAAGAGAAAAGATTTTTTAAATATTCAAAGATGAAACAGTATAATATGCTTATAAACATTCATTTAGTACTGATCAGCTTAAAGGAAACAAAGAAAGGTAAGAGATTCCAAGGTCTTGATTTCTAGAAAGGTGCTTGACTTTTAACCTGTTTATAAACTAAAGTCAGTGAAGGTCTTTAAGCAAGAGACAGTCATTGTCATATTTATATTTCAGAAAGTTGTACTGGGCAGGTCATTGAAGATGTAAAGATAACAAAGATACTCCCTGTCTTTTGGGGAAGTTAAAGTCTATTGAAGAAGGCAGTAGTATGAGAGCATTTACGTAAATGAGAGAAAGTGATGTAACAGAGGCACAGAAAATGCTTTCTTATTTCTTCCTTTTTTTTCCTTGTGACAGTAAAAAATACTAGTTTAATGAGGTTAGAAACTTAGATTGACTCTTTACATCTTTCAGCAAGATCTGGGACTCAACTGTGGAAATAAAAGAGGCTGCTGCAAGATGTTCACTCTGACCATTTCCTCCAGAGTATACAAAGTTTTTTCTTCTGCCCAGTTAACCAACCCAGAACATTCGAACACCAGCGTTTTGTGGAAGAGAAACTTACTCTTGGTATTAGAGAATGTTCTGGCTCTTTGCTTCCATCCTAAGTCAGCCTCAAGATACCTGAAATAACACTTCCACAGTGGTGGGAATCCAATACAAATATGTACGTTTCTCCTAAGAATGGGATACTTGTCCTGGTCTCAACGTTCTCTAAGTACAGAATGACTGAGCTTGTGGATCTGCAACAGTTGGCTGGAGAAACCTGAACAACCCAGGAAGGATGAGCAAAAGACTGAAGAAAAAAATGATGATGAAATGATGATGAGATGATGAAAAGATGGAAATAAAGTGTTTGCAGATGGGGAGAAGAGGAGGGGATGAAGGGAGGGCAGGGACAAGGGGAAAAAATGAGAACCAAGACCTGTCATGTAAAGGTACAAGATCCCAATGATGAATGCAACTGTACTGTATCCCTACAATGTACCAATAAACTCAATTAAAGCTGTAAAAAATTAAAAAATAAAATAGAAAGGAAAAAAAGACTGCTGGTGAAGAAGACAATAGGGGAACACTTTGAATGGCTATATCAAAAATAATGAAGATCTGAATAAGTACTTCTCAAGCACCTATACAAAGAATTGCAACAGCACAGAATAGGAGGAAAGATATGTGAGAGAGGTGTAAAGACAAGGTCTAAGTCATGGAAAGTGGCATGTCTAGCTGTGTGGAATTCACTGATGGATACAAGGGATAAAAATGGGAAAACTCTAAGATTCCTAGATTTCTGATGAAGAAGACTGAATGAGTTTCCACTTTTAGTAGAAAGCAAGAAACTTATTTTTGGTATGCTGAATTTCTGACATGAAAAGTGTCATAGATGTTTCCTTGATAATACCTGAAATATCTGATAATTACCTGAATATACCATCTCATGGGCTAGAAAACCTAAAATACTTGTTTTAATTTCTTAGGGCTGTCATAATAAAGTACCACAAATTAAGTGGCTTAAAACAACAGATATATTTTTCTCTCACAATTCTGGAGGCTTTAAGTCTGAAATCAAAGTGTCAGCAGGGCCATATACTATATGAGCGCTCTAAGGAAAAAAATCTTTCTTTGCTGCTTAATTTCTAATGGTTCCTGACAACATGTGGCTTGTAGGTCCATCTGTAAAGACTGTCCAAATATGGTCACATTCTGAGGTTTCGGTAGACATGATTTTATGGAGGACACTATTAAACCTAGCACATCTACGGCTACAAAATATCCCAAATGTTAACATATAACCAACTTTTTATATTAATAGATGAGCATGAATATGCACAGATATACAAATGTGCACACACAGAAATATATAAAATCACTAGAGCTGAAAATAAAATGATCAGAAGCCCAGAATATCAAGCTTACAACAGGACTTGTGCCTGTCTTGCTTATTCTTTAACTTATTTCTTTTGACCTAGAAAACAGGGGTTTGATGACACCTAAAAGAAAGGAACTAATCTCAAGGCAACAAAAAGTTAGGCTGGAACAAAAAGGAAAAATGTGAAGCCTGCACTGAGCAATTGCCCTGCTCCTGGACGATCTTCCACCACCTCAGTGTTCTGAATATCACCTTATAGTACCCAATCTCAATCTCTTTTAGTCTCAGGGCTCTTTAACACTCTCAAAATTACCCAAGATCCCAAAGAGCATTTTTTATATGAATTATATCTTTTTATAATATGCTATTTTTAAAATTATAACTCGTTTCTTAAAAAGATATTAATTTAAAATAGTTAAGTCCAGAGCTGGGCATGGTGGCACACCCTGTAATCACCACTTGGGAGGGTGAGGCAAGAGGATTACCACAACTTTAGGCCAGCCTGGGGTATGTAGTGATTTCAAAGCCAGCCTGAGTTACACAATGATACCCGGCCTCAAAAAACAAAAAGCAAAACAAATCAACAATAATAACAAAGAAATCCATTATATAAGTATAAATACTATTTTACATGAAAAACTGTATTTTCCAAAAAATATAGTAAGAAGAATATAATTGCTTTAAACTTTTGAAACTCTTTGCTAACTGGCTTACAAGTATGTATGTTTAGAGGTAGGGATGATTACAAAGAGGTACAAGAAAACTTCAGGTTTCAGTAACAGTTGTTTACTACCTTGACTATGGTGTTAGTTTTATAATACAAACATCAAAATTTATAAAACTGTCCATTTTAAACATGTGCAATTTATCTTATCAATAAAATTTGGGGTGCTGTTTTGTTTTTGTAGTACTGGGCAGTGAACCCAGGGAGTTTTAAGATATAATCCCAGCTCCTTTTGCCTTTTTTTTTTGAGATAGGGCCTGAGTTGCTTGGGTGGTCTTAAACTTGCAATCCTCCTGAGTAGCTCAGATTACAGGCAAACAAAGCTTTTTAGTACAAAAGGAAAGCAAAATTAGCACAGTGCTGGTATAGGAATAAAACCAATAGATCACTGCCAAAAAAAAAAATATATATATATATGAATAGCACTAAGTTCTCTAATGGTCCTTTCTGAAGTTACAAACTCCCATATACAGTGTAGGTGCACTATAGTTTGAATGTGTCACTTCCAAAATTCAAGTGTTGTCGATGTGATGGTATTAAGCTGTAAGTCCTTAAAAAGTAATTAAGCTATGAAAGAACCATCATATAAATTTAAATTTACTTGCCCTTCTACCTTTCACAGGTTGGGGCAGAGCATTCCTCCCCATATAGAGGATGCTGCAATATGAGACCATCTTGAAAGCAGGCAGAAGTTCTCACCAGGCAAACAAATCTGCCCGCAACTTGGATTTCCCAGTCTCCAGAAATGTGTCAAAATAAATGTCTGCTCTTTATATTCAGTCCACAGTATTCATTTTAGTAGCACAATACACTAACTCAGGAACCAAACACAGGTATAGATATAGGTATAGGAATATTATAGAAAGAGACAGATGTAGATAGATGTACTGATACATAAATTAAAAAGAGGACACATGTAATCAGTGAGAAAAGAACACAGTATTCAATCATCACTTTTAGGTAAATGCTTATCCGCATCGAGAGACAGGGAGAAGATCCTAATAGCACACATAAAAATGAGTTCTAGGAGAAATGCAAATCTTTACAATTTTATAAAGAAATAGGAAAATACTTCTAAGTCACTGAGACATGGAAGAACTCTTTAACATACATACAAGATATAAAGAAAAAACTAGTACACTCAACTGTTAAAATTTAAAACATCTGCACATCATAGTATTATTTCTAGTATTGTGCTAGTATTTCACCTATATTTTACATTCCTAATATATATCTTAATAAACCAAAATAACTAGAGGCATATTGATATTTATTTCAAAGATATATTTAGTGCAATACACCACATTTAAATGTGGACCAATCTTGAGCTCTGATTTTCAAAATTTATGACTACTTACAATCACTCCCAAAAAATTACTTAGTTATAAATCTAACAAGACATGTATAGGATCTGTATGCTGAAAACTAAAATGTGAGAATAAAAGAAATCAAATGACTTCTTCCCTCGACTACTATATGAAATGTAAACTAAGGGTTAAAAATACGTTAAGGTGGTCAACTATGTAGCATTTTCCTTAGGGATAAGGAATAAGAAAGTGTATACACCTGTGGTCTAAATAAGTTTTATAGTGACAAAGAGAACTATAAAAAGTCAGTCAAGGGCCGGGGATTTGGCTCAGTGGTTCCACTGCCTGCCTTGCAAGCGCAAGGACCCGAGTTCGATCCCTGGTACAAAAAAAAAAAAAAGTCAGTCAAGCCTAGAGAATCTAAAAGATGTTATATTAAAAATTTCTAGTTTTGCTGTCTGGATTCAGGGATCTGAAGGCAAGGATTAAAATCCAGTGCAAAACAGAAACGATTTGCATGAACAGCACTGAGTTATTGAAAGATCCTTTCTGAGGTGTAAAGATAGAAAAAGTCTTTGCCTGTGATTTCCTTTATCTACATGTTAAAAATTAGGAACACTGCACTACACAAAGAAATGTCTGAACAGACTAAATATCGCATGTTGGAGAAAATGATGCCACCACAGAGCCAAAA